CATTCAAGACATATCAAACTTTGGCCGAGCACGACAAAAAACTTTGAGCTGAATTGCAAAAACGCACGGACAGTTTTTTGTCGAAAAAATCGAGACACTAGACATAATTTATTCTGGTCGAGCCGGTCGAAAAAATATCCGAAATCTCTTGCGCAAATCTAGCGCAAATTTTGGTCGAAAGAGTCGAAACATGCCAATACTTGTACTTGAGAACCTACCTAAATTGTGTCCAGATAGCCGTCAAATATCAATCATGGTCAATAAAGTCGACACATACCGATCATTGGGAGCGTGCCCAGATTTGGCAGATTTGGCTGAGCCAATCGAAACATATCGATTTTGGTCAAAAAAGTCGCAACATACCGGATACTTGAACACATACTCAACTTTTGTCCATATGGTCGATGCAGATCAAATTTGGTTCAGAAAGTCGAAAAATACGGATACTTGTAAATTTACCAAATTTTTGTCGAGATGTAGGAAGCAGAGTGATTTTGGTCGAGAAAAGTAGAACATAACCGATACTCGAGAACATAATCATTTTTGTCGAGATGGTTGACGCATTTCAATTCTGGTCGAGGAAGTCGTAACGCAGATCAAATTTGGTCAAGAAAAGAGAAACAAAACCAATATTTGGGAACAAAGCCAATTTTCGTCGAGATGTTCGGAGCATATCAAATTTGATTTATAAAGCATAATCATAACCGATCACCTGAACGCGAGATAGTGAAAAACCCACCCGATCGAATGCTTTCGAGTAGCGGAATGATAGGTTATGCTATGTTACTGAATTCACAAATGTAGTTTCAAAGCAGTCTTGAGGGCATTATGCAAACTTATAATGACTGTGAGAGTTCATCGAGAGCCCTAACGACTTAAGCTTCGGCGAAAAATTCGGACTTAGTTTTTTGAGGTGCATACTAAACCCAACTTATGATGAGCGTCGAATCATTTCTTGGTGTGAAGTTTTTTAGGTTAATCTTATGACCACTTCATACAACGGTGTTATTACTAAAAAAGTAATATCCCCTTTTGTTTTATATTTTACCCCCCTCCCTGCCAGTTTGCCACAAGCGCCATTCGCCGCTCCCCCTCATGCTAGAACATGGGGGAATTTTTTATTGGTACACTTTGAGGGATGGGGGTTAATTATTGACACCCACACCTCAGTTTACCCACCTCCTCCCCAGTTGACCCCCCCCCCCCCACCTGAGGGGGTGACGTTGACACATGGCGTTTAGTTAAAGACATGGCACACATTTTGCAAATTACAATTTTCCTGCAAAATTTGCAAAACTTCTGCAAAAATAATTGAATATAGTCCCAAAAACAATGGATTATAATCCATTAAAAGAATTATACTGCATTATTTTTTTTTTCAAAAATAATCGATTATAATGACAATATAATCAATTTTTTGGCCTGAATTTTACATTTTTAATCGATTATAATGGATTATTTTAGTCTCGGGCTCGGTGCGAGTAGTTTTTAAATTTAGTTTTTGTTCAGTTTTGTTTTCAATGCTTTATAGTGAAGGACGACCGAATTCGGTGAAAATGTGCAATAATTAAAGAGGAGAACAAAAAAGCAAAATTTACAAGAAAATACAATTAAAGTTGACACCAGCTTTTCATCCAAATTTTTCTTATTTAGTCTGACCACCAAAGATAGCCCGACCATAATAAAAAAACTAAGATCTGAATCACCGCTAATGTGGTTTTAACTTGATTTAACAGTACGATTTTTTTTTTGTTCATTCTTACAAACTAAACACGCAGTCTACGCTGTATGTCCAGCCAGTAGCGGATGTAGGATTTTCTCGAAGGGGATGGGCGGATTTTCGAAAAACTTTCGAAAACTTTGTCGGCTTTTTTAAGGCCGACCAAATTGATTTTCCGAGCTCTCCCAAAGCTTAAAAAAGATCCACAGGCAAAATTTTGAAAAAACAGGCAAAAAAAAACAATTTTAGGCTCTTTTTGAAATATTTTGACACAAAATCACGTTTATTCGGCACGCGCTCTATTGGTATATTTTGACGCCGAAGGCGCTTTTAGAAAAGTTTTTGGGATGGTCAACCAAAAATGGATGTCCTAAAAAGTTCTCCAGACACGCTTCACTGCATATTGCAGCATCATAGATCCTTTCATTTATTTTTTAGATATCGAATTTCGCAAAAAATGAAATTTGGAACGGAAAAGGTGACGGCTCGACTAAAATATAGCTCGACTGGCGTAAAAATTTGGAAACACAAAAATGTATCGACTATCCTAAATTTGAAACGGTTTTCCCCAAAAATACAAAACAAGAAAAATCCTTTGAAATTGAACCTTGCATTTTTGAGATACAGAAAAACGAGAAATCCTAACTATCCATTCTAACTAAAGGGGGAGATTCGTTACTAGGCACCAAATTTGCATATGCTTAATGCATGAACTGTTTCATTATAGGGGTTGCAATTCGTTAACAGATACAAAAGGTTATAAGAATAGTTAATGATCAGTTTTTTTGTATAATGATTTTGATCTTGTTAACTATCGCCCAACCATTGCAATGGGCGGACGGGGGGGGGGGGGGGGTTCTTTACACGATCTGGACGAAACTTTTCGAGATAATACCTACCAATTTAGACAATATTTGGTTTTTGTGTTTCAATAGTTCTTGATTCATTTTTAAGTTAGGTGCAAAAACAGAATCTTTAAGTTTTTAAGAAATTAAAAGAGATTTTTTTTGAAAGGACAAAGATGCAAATTAGTGTGTGACCGACTTTTGGAAAGATCGCAATTTTTTGGTTAAAAAAACTGAGAGCGTAGTTTCCAGGCAAAACTCTAAATGTTCCTTAAAGTGGAGTCAACGAGTTGGATGTATTTATTGGCAAAAAATATTCAAAAAAAACTTTCAAAAAAAGGTTCATCTTTTCCGCACCTTGCTAAACGAGCAAAAGCATTAATTGATTTGCACCTTAAAATAAACCATTTGAATCAATCAACTTGTCTCATATCAGTTGTGACGATGATTTCTCTGCAAGATTATTTTACCACGCGCAATAGTTATCCCATATTGGCATTTTCAAGCCCTCATTACTGCCCGATAAATTTTTTTTTGAAATAATCTTTTTTAAACTCAGGGCACAAACTAAAACGCCTGAACACTGAGACGCCTCAAACTTGAGACGCCTGAAAACAGGCCTAATTAAGTCTTATGGCGCTCTCTCTAGTGACGTTTTCGTAAAAAAAAATATTTTTAATTTGTATTTCTGTTCTTGTAATGACTTTACTTGGAAACAATTTACTGTAATTATCCTTTTTATTATAATTTCAGATGGTTTGAAAATTTTTCGCGCAAACATGTAAGTTGAAAAGAAGAAATTAGTCTGAATAAAAAAAGAAAAACCAAACTATCAGACTATGCGTGTTCCTTCTTTTTTTTGAAACAATAACTGTGCAATTTCGCAACATCAGTTTAATAAGCATTTTTCAACAAATTTTTCATCTAGCTGTTTTCAACAAATTTTTTTCTTTTTAGAAACTTTCTAGCAGTATTTGAGCTCGAGTTGAGGTGGTCGCTTTATATACTGACTTACAAACTCGAACCAGGCTAATGAAACATTTGTAAATTATGATGTCGTATCAATTTTTAAGGAGGAGTATTACTATACACAATTTTTTTTCAAATTATTTCAATCAGAAAAAAAATTCTACAATTTCAACTGAAGGCGCTACTTAAGGTTTTCTTCCGTATGAAAGATAATTAGTCGCTGAATTAGATAGCATCTAGAAATTAATTTCTAGGCTATTTCAAAAAAAGAAATCTGCGCTATTTAAACAAACTTAATAATAATCATCAGAATTAGGTCTTTTGTTCTAAAAATAATTGATCTGCTTCAGAACAGAACAAAAATTGGCAAAAAAAAAGATTTGACAGGCGTTGCTTTTTATGTTTTTTCAAGATTTGATGCAGTTTAATTGAATTACGATTTTTTTGCGGTTGACTCTATTTCGTCTTCTTTCGATGCAAAAAGTCAGGGCTGATATTTGCACCGAGAAGGCAGTTTGTTTTGACGCAAAACCTACTCCGTAACTCAAAAATTAAAAGCTGGAATCCTACTGCGTGCCGAGTTAATTAGGTTCCATTGCAAATGAAATCCCCAGCACTCAATGAATTACACAAAAAAAAACATGACAACAAATTACAAAAAAACTGTCAGACGAAACAAAAACAAGAATAGCTGGTTTTTGTGCGAGCGACACAAAATGTTCTTGCCATAGTCTTTACAATTTTAAAAAAAAAAAAAACATTTTTTTTTTTTCAAATTAGTGTAATTTTTTTTGCGTGGTGTGATAAAAAGATCTGACTTAAAACAATAAGTTAAGCATATTAGACAGTCATAGTAAAATAAGTAAATCGGACCAAAAATTTGTAGGAAAAGACTAGAAAAACAAAAAAAAATTTAAAGTTTTTTAAAAAGCAAATATTAAAAAAAAAATTTTGCTGAAAATTTTGACTTTTATGAAGTTTTTTGTTCCCAAATTGGAGCTAAGAAAATCCAAAACTAGTTTTAATTGCTGAAATTTTAAATTAGGCATAATTTATCTGTTGCAAGACTGCTCCTTGCTTTATTCGTGTTCGAATTAAGACGAAAAATTAAAAACATCAAAAAGTGTTTCTCGACATTAGAAACTTTTTGAAAACGTTTTAAGGTCGATCAAATCACGACTGAAAGGGCTTTAATATGAATCTGTTGAATGAAATTATCAGTTTTGAAGCCGAAAATACGTACTATGGAGTCTAGATATAGTGAGTCATCATATTGAAATATTTTCAAAACTGTTGATAAAAAATGTCAAAAAAAATTATGCCGAAAAAAAAGTGTGTGGCTTTAACTAAAATTTAGCTCAAGTAAAAATATTTATTTTCAATTTTTATATAACACATCAATTTAAATTTCTTGTCAAAAATAGAACTCAAAACAAATGTACAATTGCATTATAAAATAGCACCAAAGTCGTAAAGGCATGATTTGAGATTAACAGAAGTCGGAATTTTTTTATTGCAAAATTACTCAAAAATAACTAAAAACACTATTTGCGGAAATGAAAAAAAAACAAACGGAATAAAATGAAGACTGCATAAAAAAAGTCAGAATTTCGTTCTGAATTCAAAATAAAAAGTTGGTTATGAGTATTGTAGTTAATAGTGATTGCAAAGCTGATTTAAATCCAGGGGCTATCGAGGGACGACTGACAGGTGTTCCAAACTCGGCTATTTCGACTTTCACCCCACCGTTGAAGTTTCCAGGGTCCTCGTCGCCTTTAGTGTTTCTGAGGTCGTGTTTCTGAGTGTCTCTGTCCACGTGGTATGTTTGCCAGTCGGTCCATTCGCCGTCTGTGCCCCCCAGCATCAGTTTGTCGGCTGGAGTCGAGGGGTCATCTTTGGGGATCTGGTGATCTGAAAGCACAAAAGCGATAACTATAAGCTTTCCGATGACTCTAAAGCGGAAAAGTTATAAATGAGTAGAGCCAAAAATACATTGGATGGCACACAACAGTACCAATCATTAAAACTTTTAGCAGGTTTCCCGAAACTTGAAATCCAATGGACTATTAAAGTTAAGTGGGTCACACAATCGTGGAAGAAATAATCTGGCAAAATTCAGAATTCTCGAGCTTACTTTAAAAAGAACGCCACGCTTCTTTGTTTTCAGTTAAGACAGGACTTATAGACTGACCTCTGATGAACCTTTCGTCTGGAATGGAACAGTCTGATCCCTTCCAGCCATAGTCACAAACACACAGTCTCTGATTGCTGCAGAACTGAACATAAAAAAAAACATAAATAAAAAATATCTTTTCAGCTATAAGATTGTTAAAATGTCTCAATCCAGCGGCTCTCATTGTGAAAGTTAGGGCGATAACTATGGTTTTTAGTGGTGATTATTGCTTGCGAGAAAGATAATTTTGCTGATGTCCAATTTAAAAAGACCAATGATGGAGAGCTGGCACTTTCTCCATCATTCTCCATTAGCAATTTCTCCATCATTCTCTGCAGCAAAAATGTATTCTGCTTCTATGGAATACTTTTAGTTGATCAAAATTTTGATTAATACACTACTCAAAAATGTGCTGATTAGTACAAAAATGTACTGATTAATACACTACTTTAAAATTTTTAAAACACTACTCAAAAACCAGATAAACCCCTATTTGAAACAATCCCGTATTTCAAACGTCCAATACAAAATCAGAAGATATTGAAGAATCGCGTCGTCCAATAGTTTAACCGATTCTTCTATTAAAATATTTGAACTTCATTAAATTGAGCGTAAACTGGAACGATTTGAGATTTCACATTTTGGCACTCGGTATGTTCCGTTTAGAACCCCCCCCCCATCTACAAATATACCAAATTAAGATTCTCCGCCACAGCATTCAATTAAAAAATATATATCGTATCTGGCAAGCGTTGCATGTAAAATGCTCTAATCTGATTGCCTGAAAAATCGAGCTCAGAACCAAGTTAACATCCTCCCTCATAAACGAGTGTCGGAGAAAGAGAGTGTTAACTTGGTCCCTTGTTCCGATTGCTTCCTCCGATATGCACCCACCCCATGATGTGAACAGAAGTGGCCAGTGATCCTGTCGTGGCCTGGACATACAAAGTAGTCCATGTCTGATGCACGTAAGTCCAGACACTGGCTGTCTCTGCTGCAGACCCTGTTGGTGCCACACTTGGTGCCAGGGGCCACATAGCCCACATCTGTCCCATCGTCCAGCACCACACTCGCACTTCTGGAGAGAGAGCAGAGAAAAAAAAGAAATTTAGCAGGCAATCTTACCAATGAGTTATTAGCTTGAAAAAAGCAGAAAAAAATATTTCTTGCCAAATTGTAAAGTAAATCTTAAGAATTGGAAACTAAAAGTTTCATAGATTAAAAAAATTGTATACCCCCAATATAGTGGAGTGCGCAAGAATTTTTTGAGGAGAGGGAGTGGCTTTTTAAATTTTGAAAAGACTCTATTTTGCTAAAAATTTTGCACCAAAGGAAAAAAAGAAGCAAAATTTTTTAAACCTTTTTGGGACATATTTTGGAATGTTTTGGAAACAGGTATTTTTCGGTGCCCGCTCCCCTCTCAAATTTAGGGATTGTTGGCACGGAAAGCGACTTTAAAAAACTTTTCGAACATGTTTTAAGGACCCAATGAACAGTTGTAATTTTTCTAACGGAATTTAAAATCGTATCGAAATCATAGCAGAACAAAGAAAGCAAAAAATGTTAGGAAACAATGTAACCTAACGGTCTTATTAATTTGTAAAATGTGGTTATTTTTGAAAAAACTTGGAAACTCGGTGCTTGGGAAGAAGAGTCGTGATTAAATTGGACTGACGAGCACTTGTCGTTGATTCCCTGTTGAGATGAGTGGGAGTTGGTGTTAAAGGGGTTGAATCTGAATCGTCTCACTTTCTCAATCCTCACTGAAGTGGAGAGAGACCCATTGCACTGCAGCATCCCACAGTAGACGTTTCTGAGAAAAAAATCACAATTTTTTGTAGAGGCGTGGCATTCAGTTACGTAACGAGTTTACCGCTATGTATTCTGAAAGTTATTTAGAAGGCGTTTGAAAACTGTTGATTGTGGAATCCAGCTTCTAACTAGCACAGTTATACCTTTCAAGAGATGTAGAGTTTGGTCGTAGACTTTATTTTTTTTGTTTCAAAGTGAGCAAGCATGTTGTCAAAAAAAAGACTTACTAAATAACCATTAAATCAGCCATTACGCCGGAAATTTACACAGACAAATAGTCACAAGTTTGATAAAATAAAAATAATTTTCTAATGTTTGAAAGCATTCTCGAAATCTACTAACATCGAATTTTGTTTGTACCAATTCATGCCTTTCTTGATGGAAACCCAGTCAGCTTTGCAAACAAATTCGTTTACATTGTCAAGGCCTTGATTTCAGACCCCTTTACTTTTAAAACTCGTTTTCTTATGTTTAGTCTTTAGAAAAAAACATCAATTTAGGTTTTTCTTTTCCTTTTGAAGCATTACAAGGCCAAATTGTGCTTTTTGTGAATTTTTATGTGAACTCCGCAGCAAGCCAAAAACAGAATTGTTGCGGAATCCCCAACTTTTTTTTATTTTTCTTTCTCGTTCTGTGCTCTTTTCGATTCCACATAAAAATAGCTAAAACACTGTTTTACTCAAAATTGCTCCAAAAACAGGCAATCCGCAACAAAATTTTTTAAATTCGCAACAAGATGTGCGGAATTAGAACAGTTTGTGTTCACTAAATTTAAGTCGCGGAATCCGCAAATTGTGAGCGAAATCCGCAAACTGTAAGCAAACAACTACCTATATTCATTCGTTGTGGAATCCGCAACAAAACTAATGCGCCGACAAAAATTACGTCGCAGGGATTTGTACGCGGAATCCACGCTTCTTTTATATGTGGAATCCACTTAAATTTTGGAATTTGTTTTAAAAACTGTCTTTGGAATCCAGGAACATACAGACACAAAATTGTGCGCCTATCTAGTGAGTAATTTAACCTCGTATTGAGTATTTGATAGTTCAAACGTTTTTCTAAGATTCAAATGTAGTTTCTGCTTTCTTAGTAGCTGCTCAGATTTATTTTCTGACTACTTTCGCTATTTTCTAGCAGTTTTTAGGCCCATAGTTCATAACAGACGATGGCTCGAGAAAAAATTCTCAATTTCGTAATGTATGTATTGAGATAATTGCCGATAAAAAATTCTGAAAAGTTTACTCTGTTGAACCTTTTTACAACATTTTTTGATTTTCTAACGTCATAGTGTTTTTTTCAAAATTTAGCTGGCACATAAAGTTTTTTTCACTAAACTTTATCATGCAATAAAAATTAAACGGTAAGCAATAGACACGTGTGAAAAGAACCTGAACTCTAAGAAATCGAGATGAAAAATGTTTTTCTGAAATTTACTTTTATGTGTTTGCTTGTTTTAATAAAAGAAACTGGATTAACAGATAATTAATTCTTAATGATTGAAGTGAATTTTCACTTATTTAAGGTTTGTCGTTTTTTTGTTTTTCTCTTCATGAAAAAGTCTACATGTTTTCGAAATCAAAAGTATATTTTTTTGTGGTTTCCCTTTTTCATTTTTTTAAAATATAATTTGACACAACAGATAGAACTACAAAGTCTTGGCCGATTACATCAGATGTTTTTGGTTTATTGCTCCGACTTTCGAATCAAATGAGGGTTATATAATCTTGGGTTGATTTTTTTATTCAGATCAACTTCCAAAAGAACATTTGATGAGAAAGGGAACAATCCCTAGATTTTCCTGGCCCCTGAATGTGCTCGCATAACACTATACTAAACTGAATCTACGATCACTGCGAAACAATTCTGTCTAAACTGCTCCTCTAAAACTCTGATACCAAAAGTGTAACGAGAATTGTTTATGCGCCCCGAATTATGCCGCACTTCAAAATTTTTTCTAATTGAATGTAGGCAAGCAACCTGGCTGCAATAATTCCATACACCACTCAAATTTTATCACTTAGTTTTGATATCTTTCTTGATATCACCTAATGTCTGTTATCAGCCCAAAATTCATAGTTTGTCGATTTTTCATTCACCAAAAACTACTCGAGACCAGATAAAGGGCAGTCGAAACAATCAAGGCTTTGCGTTTTTGTCTGAACATTTTCGCTGCACAATATGGCTGAACTAGATTCGATAATTCTAAAATTTGATTTTCAAACAACCTTTAAAATGAAAGTATGTAGTCCAAAAATGTATTTTGCCCATTCACAGACTAGAACACCCAAATTATTTTATTTTAATTCTCTTTCTAAGTCTATTTAGAGCCAACAACCTGCAACAATTTTATGTGATCTTATGATGCTATTGTGTGCTAACTTAGGAATAAAACGCGTGCTTTAAAAATACTCGTTTTGTTTGACTGATTTTGTTTGACTAAAATTTTACAAAATGATTCGTTTTTTGGTAAAATTTTCATTTTTTTTTTGAAAATACACTGCCTTTTACAAAAACTTATATCAGCCCATGACCAAAATTTAAAGTAGGGTTTGACGTGAAGTATGGGTTGATTCAGAGAATCTTTTTGCATGCATGATTGGACTGCTTTGCCTCACATTGAAATCTGCCTTTGAACAGACTATTTCTACAACTTGAAGACTAGGTATGGTTCAACTTTAAGAAACTTTAAGCAAAAAAATGAAGCTTTGGATAGCAATTGTACTGCAGGTGGTTGAACAACCTCTTTGTGTGAAAGCATCGGTTGCGCAGAATATTTGCAATGAAAATTTTAAAAACAAAACAAAATGTCAATCAATCACTGTTTATAAAGCCGATTATAAATAACCTGTAATGTTGTCTGGTAAATAATTGACCGGTAGATTCATTTTCATTCTCTAATTTTATGGGATATGGATTTTTGTTTAAGTGCTAATGGTATACATTTTTTTCCGTGATAGCGAGACGAAGTTTTTTTTACCTTATTTGGTCAGCTTTGTAATTTCCGAGCTCTTGGCAGTGCGCTCAATTTTTTTTCGAAAATAACTGCATCACGTGTTTGCATCCGAAAACTGTGTTGCAAAATTTTACTTACCGTTAGATTTATGACGAAACTAAATTTTTTCATGAGTAGAAATTCAGCAGAAAAATTTGAGCAGATTCTTAACCTACTCGTGAAGAATTCAACTAGCACCCTACTAATATGATGTGAACACTCACTGTCTGTAGCATGGCCTGTAATTGCCCCCTCCTAGGTCCCCACAGTTGCCGTAGCCACTTCCGGCCGAGTTGAGGTTGTGGTAGCACAAGTCCACCCCACTCTTGCTCTGGATGCCATACAGCAGCTGGCACTGCTGGTCTTTTGTCAAACACTCTCCCTTCAGACAGAAGTCCTGAAATATCATCAGTATGTAAATTTTTGGCTCATTACATGTTCCTCCAGCCCCCCCCCCCCCACCGCTAGCAAATTGTAGCCCCGCATCGATTTGAGATTATGGTACCTTCCAGAAACCTATAGCCCCCTCCCGCAACAAAAGAACAATCACAGTGTTGGCTGTCTAAGCATAGAATGGCATCGATTATTTTACATGAAAAATTCACTTTTGTTTATAGAATTGATTTTCCATTGCTTGATAACAAATATTAAACTGCAGACGGCAATTTAAAAGCCCAAGAGTCAAAAAATTAGAGACCATGTGAACAAGCAAACAAAAAGAGGTTAAAAGAGAATTCTACATTTTCACGAAAAAATTTAGGATTTTCGAGAGTGAGTGCATATTTGAGCTCAACACTATCTCTAAAAAAGGTCAAATGTTTCTTTGCCACGGAAACATATTTAAAAACTGATTCCCTTTTCAAATATGTTTGGAAGGATTTCACCAAACATCACCGTTTACCAGATCGTTAAACGGAATTACGTAATGAATGAATGCATCAATTACGTAATGAATACGTAATAAACAACAACAATCAAAACAGTATTAGTGTGTGTGACCTGTTGGTGGTTGCATGGACTGGCGTCTATCTTGTAGGTGTTGGGGGGACAGAGGGGGGAGTGTCCGTCACACCTCTCCTCCACGTCGCACTGACCCATCTGTTCACGGCACACACTCCCATTGCTACGCAACTACAACATTTTTTCAAAATTTTAACTTCACTTGAAAAAATCATGTTTACTATATACTTTTCATGAATTAAAACTGTATGATAAGCATTTTTTGCTTGTTGTTCCGGCTTTCGATACGAAAGTAACGGAATATTTGTGCTCGGGGTGGGTTTTTTTTCTTCAGACAAGTTTCAACTTTTTAACTAGCCATTTTTGACGGAATTTTTTAAAAATCATTCGAAAGGTATTGTTGTCCTGAGCTCAAATTTGAAAAGATATTTCACCTGTGATCGTTTTTCGTAAAGTTACGGGGGTTTAAAGATTGCCATTTTGGCCAATTTGGGACAATTAACGCGCGATATATTTCGCGCTATTAACGCATAAGCGGAGAGTTAATCCGTCTTAGAAATCGTTACAAATTGGTTAAAAGAAGCCTATTTGCCATAATTGGTTTGTTACAAGGAGCGAAATCTATCCTTTTTTTACTTTGTATGGCGTGTGGGGGGATGATTTTCAAAAAAAAATTGCAAATTTTAGAATTTTTTTTTTAATTTTGTTTTATTTCATTGAATTTTTTAATGTTATTACTGCTCCATAAATCTTAAAAGGCAGTCGGATTATTCCGGGCTTCGCCCTGATACGAGCAGTCTTGTTTTTACTTTAAAAAAGCTCATTCTTAACAAAAACGACGTCCCTAAAAACTATTTGTAAGACTTTAATTCGGTAGTAAAAATGCTTATTTTTAGCGACTTATTAATTAAAATAATTATCATATAGCGACTTATTAATTAACATCACAGTTGCATAAAAAATTTCTATTCGCATCGGGTCAACATCGGGTCGACTTAGGAAACATATGTCAACTTAGGGACCTAGGCGTCAAATACGTATTAATTGAAAAATATTTTTTTTGAGAACGCTCTGCGATCAAGTTAACATTCTCTCATCCCCCCCCCGCCCAAAATAGACCAAGTTAAGATCCTCCACCCCAGTGCTGAATTTAAATTAAATTTGTTAATCGCTGCATGTAAAATGCTCGATTCTGATTGGCTGAAAATTCCGAACTTAGAAACTTAGAACCAAGTTAACATCCTCCCCCTAAACGTGCTTAGGGGGGGGGGGGGAGGGGAGGATGTTAACTTGGTCCAAGCTCTGTTAGAGCATTGTAGCTTCAGTCGTCGTATCTTATATACTTTTAAGATCATTCTAATAGGTTTTGTGAAAAAAAAAATTTTAATTTTACCATCTTCGATTCCAAAAATATGATAAGTAAAAAATAAGGAGCATCTCGTATGTTAAATACGTTTGAAATCATTCTAGGTGTTGTGAAAATATGTTTTTATTTCGATTCCAAGAATATGATCTTTTAAATAAGTTAGCGTGAAAATGAGAAAAAAAACGTGAACTGACTGACTGACCCTGCATTGTGAGTTGCAGCACTCCCCACTTCCACACTGTGCACTGGCCGTGAGCATGCACTGTGAACAGCAGCTAGAGTGTCCTGTGAGTGCACACTCCTGTGAACAAACAAAGGGCTGATCATCTCAAACAAAACATGGGTGGGCTGAAAAAACGATCAACTGATACCGTTTTCTGGTCCTCTTTGAGAAATCTGCTTTATTTGCATTGATGTAAAAACAAATTTCATGTTCAATTTGTAGTTCAATCATTTGAATCGAAGAAATGTGTTCTTTCATTTCTTTATTTTCAGCCAAAAACTGCTGACAAAATCCTTGAACGATATTGAACCAAGTTAATAAAACCTAAAACTGCTCATTGAGCATTGAAAAACAATTTTGCTTTCATTTTGACTCAAAAAACTAAGTTTAAACCCACAAAATTTCGCTCTTGGACCGACAAGGTTGCTCAAGGCCACTGATATTTTATCAGCAATATGGCATCATAAAAAAAACATTCCTGGTGATTAATTTTTTGTTTTATTAATTAAGAGTTTCTTCTGTCCAAATATAGACAACGAGTTTCAAAAAAACTTTGAAAAAAACATCAAATTAATTTCTTGGTTTCTTTGAAAGAAAAGAAAAATGACTGCCTTAAAGGTCAGCCCAATAGGAAAGTGAAAGCCGCGCTCAAATGATAGTCTAGTCTACACCAAAACGAAAATCGTTTGCAGATCTTGCAAAATGAGCCTCCGGGTTTCACATCAGATAGAACCAGAGACCAATTTATGACAAGGACCTAAATTTTTTAGCCAATTACTCCACAAAAAATGTCCATCCTAAATTGGTTTATTGGGACACGATTTTGTTACTTTTAAAGGTCTGTCGATGCAAAAATTGCTTTAATGTTATAAGCTCAATATTTTAAAATATTGCTCAGAAAAATAAATATCCAAAAAAAACATCTTCCTGCCGATTTGAGGGGAGTGCAGTCAAAAAGTTGACATGTCATACAATAGACAAGCCGTAAGCCAATCACAATTGAGTGTCACAAAGTAGACAAGTCGTAAGCCAATCACAATCAAGATAAGACTAAACAAACATAGTAACTAATTTGTTTTCTCTATTTTGATTGGCTTACGACGTCTCTACTTTATGGCATACTTTTTGCAACGTAACCATATTAAGGAAGGTCTAGGACAACAGGCCGACGGGATATCAAGCCGATTGGATTTCAGGCCGAAATTTAAACTTTACAAGCACCTCAAATCACTTTTTTATCTTCTGTAAAATGCTGCTTTAGAAAAATTAGGGCAAGTTTGGTCCATAACTAGCGTTATTCATTACAATGCTCAATTTACGATTGGCATCCCTAATAACAACAGCCGCTTTCTGAAATGTACAAACAATAAACATAAAAAACGCCTTCACTTGTGTTTTGTTTTCAACTTTCCCAATTTTCCTAAGCAGCATCCGGAGACTTAAAATTTATGAAGACGCCATTAATGACTGACGAAAGATCCAAGAAAATCAGAAATTCTTCAAAAAAAGTTTTCAAATAAAAAATATTTCTAAGAACAGTATTTCTACTTTATAAGAAGCAATTCGACTTGAAGTTCCTTATTTTACGATTTGGCTTAAAATCCTGCCGGCTTGATGTCCGGCACCCGTTTGAGGTGATCATATGCATGTTCTAAGAAATAAGACATGATCTTTGACTTGATTCCATTGCATTCTCTCAGTTTTACCGTCATAAATTCTTTGGACATGCGGGTTTGCTTCTTTTTTAAGCCTGAAATGCGGAATTTCCAAAACTCATTGTAATGTCTTTATTCTGATCAACAAAAATTAATGGATGATCTTGCGTCAATTTCTTCCCCCACCCCAAAAAATTATGTTCAGAAATCAGAAAATAGTATGTTCAGAAATCAAAATCCTGTTGGAAAACGTATTTCGATATTTTGATTTAAATTCTCCAGTAGCAACCTAACAAAATCCAAGATCATAAAAATAATGCTTTAGCGGTCAAACTTCGGAAATGATTGTATAGAAATGATTGACAGGAGAATAATAACATGAACTAAATCAAGACTCAAATGACTGATTTAGCACTATGACATTCCCTCTTGTGAAATGAAATGAAATGAATTTTAATGATAATTGCAATGAAATTTAAATACTGGATTTTTTCGTGAAACATGAATGTACTGATAAAAACAATTTAAAAAGAAAGAAGTCAACAACTCATTTTATTGCTAGTTTTTTATAGTTTCAAAAAAATTTCTACTTGGAAATTTCCCACGAAGAAAAGAACCAATATACAGTCTAGATTGTTCAGCTCTTCTCGGAGAACCATGTTGTGTTTTTGTTAAAGAACTTAATTCAGTATTTATGATAACATTTTGGTTTTTTTTGCCCGCAGTCAATAAGCGCAGATTTGTTTCAGATCTCTATAACTAGGTCCCCCTTTTGCAAAAGGGGGTAGAGTCGTCTCTAGGTATAACGTTTTGATATGCTTAACCGTTGATTTATTTCTTTATAAGGGGGTTATTCGTTCTAGTAGGACGAGAGGAGGCTATAGTTAAAGAGATCCTCCGGTTTAAATTATTACCACAAACTGATTTATAATAAAAATAATAATAATCATAATAATGATAAAAATCATCATAATAATAATAACAAAAAGAGGTTACCAGCTGTGTGCCACAGTCGCATTCTTCTCCAGGGTCCATCAGCCCATTTCCACACAGACCCAGTCTCTGCTGATGATTGTGATTGACACCACCATCCATACTCTACAACATCGCTCACAACATAGAACAGATCAAATCTTATTGATTTTTCTATGATTATTTTTTTTAAATTGGGTTCCAACTTGGACCCCGTTGTGTTCACTTTTTGCCTGATTATCGCCGCCTTCAAGCTACAGCATCACAAAAGAAAAGACCAAATATTATATTATTAATTTCTTTATTGTCATAAATTGGGCTCCAAATCGGCTTTGGGTCCACTGTTTGCATAATATGTCATTGGGTTCACTTTTTGCGTGGTAACGCGGGTACAATTGAAGTAGCACTTGAGCTCATCAATTTCTTCCCGTGGAAAACTAGGGACATGGTAAAAAAGTTTACTCCGGGTTAGAGCTGCAAAAAATCTGTGACGATGTTTAGAACCAACGTATATGAAATTTCATATTTTTGCTGGGAGGAAGTTTTTGCGAGGTGCTTTAGAACCGCATCTCTTTTAAGCAAAAACTTAATCCCCATTATGATTCTCTTAATTATACTTCATTAGCGGTTTGAAATTGTATAGGAGACGAAAATTTAACTGTGACAAATCATATAGCTGCGGAAGTGTTGTATATGGGGTTCAGGTATATATCGAGAAAAAAGTTAACAGCAAAAACGTAACTTTGTTAGATTAGAAGGTTTTCAGTAAAATGATGTAGCGAAACTAACCTTTTAGCCTCTGGGTTTTCGTTTTTTTTACCGATCAAAAAGATGCATGTAATATTAACTACTACCAATGCGTTACATGTGAAAAACACAGCATAGTATAAAAATATTGGGTCTGTAGTCTAATTTCTTACAAAGATTGACAAAGAACCTTTCTTGGTCACAGTCTTCTAACCCTGAATATTTCGATTGCCCTATTAGGTCCTTGATGTAGTCTTTGCCTAAAAATTTTTTTCGAGATTTACTTTATAGTCCCCTCACGCCATATAAAATACATCAAAATAGACAATACAAAAATACAAAATTCCTAGTAATGTGTCAATTGTGACAAATAGCCTGCTTCTGCCAATTTGGAACGATTTCTGAGACGGATTAAATTGCCGCTTACGCGTTAATAGCGCGAAATATATCACGCGATAATTGTCCCAGGCTCGTCAAATCGGCAATCCTTGAATTGCCATAACGAAAAATGATTACAGTTGAAATTTGAGCTCAGGACCACAAGGCTGATATAAAAAATTGCAAGTTAAAAATCAAATTTTGCCTTGAAAAAAAACCACCAAAACATCTTCGAATGTCAGAACAAAAACTGAAATGTTTCCAAATAAATCACGATTTTAGGTTTAGGCCATAAAAAAGTTGTGCCAATTCTGAGAATTTTTTTGAAGGTTTCGACAACATATAATCTTCAAATTTTAGATATTTTTTGATAATATTCCAAAATAGTAGAAAATTGAACCCTGTTACCTCCCGCATTGCAATTTTTGATTGAGATCAAATCAGTCTTGATGAAGTAGCGAGGAACTATGGCGTAAGGCATGTTTTTCCTAACAATTTCAGCAATCTCAAGGAAAGCTTATTTGGTTTCAACTGTGGTATCATATTAAAACCCTATTAGTCAACATTATGATTTTTCTGAGCTTTAAAAAACAAGAGGAAGCATTTTTTTGCATTTCTCTTCTTCAATCATTGTGGTAGGAACTTTCTCTGCTACTTGCACATCAACCAATTTTCCTTGTTGTTCCGACTTTCGATACGAAAATAACGAAATATTTGTGCTCGGGGTGGGTTTTTTTACGAAAATAACGGAATATTTGTGCTCGGGGTGTGTTTTTTTTTTCTTCAGACAAATTTCGACTTTTAACTAGCCTTTTTTGACGTAATTTTTTTATATCCTTCGAAAGGTATTGTTGTCCTGAGCTCAAATTTGAAAAGATATTTCACCTGTGATCATTTTACTCAAAGTTACGGGGGTTTAAGGATTGGCATTTTGGCCAATTTGGGACATTTAACGCGCGATATATTTCGCGCTATTAACGCGTAAGCGGAGAGTTAATCCGTCTTAGAAATTGTTTCAAATTGGTTAAAAGAAGCTTATTTGCCATAATTAATTTGTAACAAGGAGCGAGATTTATCTTTTTGTACTTTATATGGCGTGTGGGGGGACGATTTTCATTTTAAAAATTTCAAATTTTAGGAATTTTTTTTTTCATTTCGTTTTATTTCCTTTAAATTTTCCATGTTATTACTGCTCCATAGACCTTCAGAGGCAGTCGGAACATTCAGGGCCTCGCCCTGATACGAGCAGTCTTGTTCACCTTTGAAATTGAGTCGAACAGACAAAATCCCCTGCCAGAAGTGACCAGCTGGAGGTACTCGTTCTTACTGCACCGGGAAAACTTGGACAGCACGTACCTGAAAACAATTTGATTAAGCGTTAGAAAAAAACGATATATCAAAAAATGAATAAGACAGCTTTAATACTAACGGTGAAAATTTGCTCATGATGCAGCCTTCTGAACAATTGCAGGCAGCTGGAAATAACACAAAGATTGTTTTATAAAACTAGCATTTTTTCATCAAAATGTTTGAGGTCTTTAATGTCTTGTTTGCAAATTTATCAAAAAAATTTCACAAAAATATACGCAAATCAGCAAATCAGTTTATCAGTTTCTGCTTGAAGCGTTACTTTAAGCTCTATGTAATCAATTTAGTTAAAATTAGACGTCTTCAAATAAGGCGAAGTTTGTGTACTTGATCCGTCGTGTGTGAGGCCGAGAATGTTTCCCAACACGAGAGCCACCGTGTTCGGAGTTTCCGACTGGTCTGTCATTTTGTCCGGAAAGATCTGCACAACATAGAGTCAACATAGATTCAAAATCAGTGGATGAACTTTTTTTGCAACAGATTCAGAGCATGTACCTGAAAACACTTCCTAAGCAGTGTTTCAATTTTTCATATTAAATGTTTGCAAAATTTTTATAAATGCCAGAGGGTGGGGGAAATTGCAAGAGGTAAAAATAAAACATTGGGAAAAAATTTGCATAAAGGTTCAGAAACCAGCAACGTTCTCTTCAAAAAACTGATACCATTTCTTCAGATACCATTCAACAGTTAGGGGATCCTTTCAACAATGAATCAGTATCGAGTTGTGAGTTTGAGATGGCAATGCATCAATGAAACCCAAATTAGAATGAAAAATGGTTATCTTAATTGTACGCAAAGCTAATGTTTCTAATTTTTTTTTGGAAATTTAAGAATCAATTTTAGTTAATTTAACAAAGTGCTTTACCCGTATGACGCCGGCTGATTTTTTGGGGTCGCATATGGATCTGTAGTTAGACGCGCTCTCAAATGGAACCACTAATTTCTTGCCCCTGAAACAATCAGAACAATATTAATTATCATTTTATTATATTATATGCACCGTATATATCATTTATTATTTAACTGACTTAACTGGACCTAACTTGAAAAAACTACCATTAAAAATTAAAGTTGATAAAAAGAAATAGATCACCGATAAAATTCAGGTCCAATGTTTGATAAAGTGCTAGTTTCTGCAACGATCTTCACAAGGTGAACATTTCAACCGAAAAAAAAACTCGAAACAACAGACTAAGTTTTTTCATTGATGTCTGAAAAGTTCATCCTATAAAAATCCCTTGGTAGAAATTTGCGTTAATAACTGACACGCAATCATCAGTTTTGAATTTTATCACTGACTTTTTTTTTACAAACATCCTATTTTCATATTTTTATGGCAGTTCATTTTCATTATTTAAGACGCCATCATCATCATTTTTTTAGACTGGATTCTTTCAGTTTTTCTTAGCTCCTAAAAATTGAAAAAATCTTATATCTTTCTCAAAAATAGAAAAAAAAACAGATTAGTTCGTACTATTTTTTAAAAATTTGATTACGAAAAAAAAAGATATCAGCCAACTTAATCTAATTTCAATACGGATTTTCCGCAACTGAGAATGAAAAAGGTATTTGTTCACAAAGAGACAAAACTTTCGTTTTCATTTTTGTTCAATTTAAATTTCCCCAGTTTGGCAATGTTCTTCGTCAAAAAAGGTCGCTTCTTTGTTCAACAAAATAATTATATTTTCAATTTTAGACAGCGAAGGAATCTTTTGTTGAGTTTTTATAATTAAATAAAAAAGAGGAGGAGGCTAAAAAAATCTTTGGAAGAAAATCAAAGAGTTCATTATTTAGAGTTTCGTTTTCCCTAGAGAATTAGACATGAAATTACTTATTTAATTAGAGTTTGACAACCAATAGGTTAATGATAATTTATGGTAGTTTGTAATAACATTGAACTTTAAACGTGAACTCAATTTGAATCAAAGCAGAAAAAAACTTCACAAGAGTCAGCTTAAAAAATGTAATCCTACTAATGCAAGAAGTTTGACCCTATCAATGTTGAGCCTTGAATTTTCCGATAGTCTCGTTAATGTGAAAAAACTTGTTAAAAATGGAATGTTTTTTCTTTTTCCTCAACTGCAATCTTCCATATGCAATTTCAACACTATGTGATAAACTGTGTTTCGAGTAACGCTTTTTTGGTTTCAATTGTTTTTCGCATCAATTTAGTAACAATGAGCTTGAGAGTGGGTTGTTAGTTCACCGCACTGAATGATTATCTGTCCGATTTTCAAAAAAGTGACAGATTGATTTTTTGGGGGGTTATTTTTTCTCCTGACAACTTTCAATTGTTAAAACAGCCTTTTTTGACTAATTTTTTCTGTCATTTCTACGGTATTGTTTTCTTTACCTCAAAATTTTTTCTGTAATTTATTATGTTTTGCGCTATTAACGCGTAAGCGGAGACTTAATCCGTCTTAGAACTCGTTCCAATTGGCTGAAG